GACATTCAATATTATTCATGCCTTAAGATATCTAATATTATTCATGTCTTTCGCACTATTAAGCCTCGAGGGGTAACGACGAAGGTCCATTGTAGTGCCAGGCACTACATCGCCAAGCGATGGAGAAACGCACGTTTAATCTTGGGATTAACTAAATCATCCTCAGTGTTTAACCCGACTATCGCGTCATCGCCATAGACTGAAATTTCAAAGGCTTTAATGTTTGGAAGGTCAGATAGGAGAGCCTTTAGGACAATATAATTAACAACAGAGCCCACAATTGACGTTAGTATAGATCCAGAGGGAATGCCTCCTTCCTTTGCGAGAGTATAGCCTGCGTGATGCATGATACCACCAACAAAGTTCATCTCGTAGAGGTTCGTTAAGTTCGCGATCAGGATACGATCTTCCTCTCGGTGTAAATCTACGGCTTTAACTAGGATATCCCATGCAAGTCGCAGCAATTCCGGGGAGATGCTGGTGTCAAAGCCGCTCCAATCCGTAGTAAGTATATAATCGTATTGAGAAAAACGTTCCCAGAGGCGCGGCCAATCACGGGAGTTTTTTCGAACGCCAATCTGGATGACTGCATTGACGTTTGACGCTGACACAAGTTGGGTAATCCTCCGAAATAATGGATTATAAAGCGGATAAAAAAGGTAGTGCTCACTAGGTTCGCCCACAGAAACTGCGCGTGTTAATGCCTTTCCTTGTGCCATTTTTTCGGGCACCTCAGACAGCTTGACCATTTTTCCTCTTGACGCAAACTGCCATGGTAGCATGGGTTGCCACTCAGGTGGCAGCAACCGCCGACGCATGAGCGTAGAAACGCATGATAACTCCCGTGAGTGGCGCACTATATAACCTAATTTTTTTCCCGCTTGTGGAAAGTAACGTTGGTAGAAAAAGCCGCAGGACGTTTCGGGATTCATACTATACTTTTGGTCGACGTCAGTTTGTGTAAGAAGCGAGATTTTTCCCAAAGAAGTGAGACCGAATAATTCGTTTGCGACATCAGAAACGTTACATGAGGGTGGATCATAGCGGTTTGGTTCAATTGCGGCATACATACCCAATACTCGAAGGAGATTTCCCCGGCCGCCGACGACTCGGGCATATTTTTCGGCTTCCGTTGCAAGAGCCCACGCGCCACCGCCCACAAGCCGGAGCGCTTCGCGCACTGGTGTATTGCTAGGAATGGTAGCTCCCTGCGCCCCGGCCCGTGACCAGGACTTGAATCCTTCATAAGTGACCGCGGGGTTGTTTTGGAGTATAGGGATATCGGGATGGGCATCGGAATATGCGATTATTGCTCGAAGCGTACCTCGTCTGACGCTCGAGTCACCGCAGAGCGACGAGATCAAGTCCGTCGCTCGCACGAGCGTTTTTATTTCACCCAGATTCAATGCCGGATTCGTTCGGATCGTACTCAATGCCTTTAATGAGTGTTGGATCATGTTCGGGAAATGCACGCTGTATATTCGTAAAAACGTCCGTAAGCATAAGTTTCTTCAGGGCCGCCTCGCGTCTAAACAATTCTTTCTTCAGTGTTGCTTGGTTCATCGACATAAAATCGGCCCAGGCCACATCATCGCGCAGTAGTTCGGCACGCTTCTCTTCCATGTAGTGCTTCTTCTTGAACGCTAAGAAATTGTCAACGGTATTATCCCAGTCCTTCTCCCTGATTTCGGGGTCCATCAACGCATATTCATCATGCCACTCAGATTGAAGCGTGTCAGGGGGGGAGATCAAAGCAATAGCGCGTGCAAAAGCCGGATCAAAATCTTCTATCATTGCTTCACGTTGCTTAATGGCAGCGTGAAGCGCTTTGATCTGATCATTATAAAATTTTATTTCTTGATTGATTGCTCGCCTATACTTCGAGACGATGCTGGCGCGTTCGTTCCAGATGACCTCTCGCTGAGGATCGAACCCTTTTTCGCGAAGCTTCCGCGCTATCTTTATTTTCTTTATTATGTCGACTTTCAAACGATCAACCCGAATACGAAAGACAGTTTTCTCCCTGAAGTATTTTGCCACCATTTTCGTAATATCGCGCGGGTCATTAGTTGCGAGAGGCCTGCGCACGACGTCCTCATACATTAGATGCATTGCTAACATTATCGCGCCAGGGTTTTCAAGTTCTTGGAGCATCCGATTCCAGACCACATCTAAGTCTTCATGTTTGTGTTGAACCACACGCGCTTGATTCTTAATTTCACCCTCCTCATACGAAAGGAACCATTTCCACGCTTTGTTATACTGTTCGAGGACGATTTCGTCGATGGCGTCTTTTAGCTCACGGGCATTCCTTAAGGCGGACGAGAACAAGTCAAAGTTCCACGCGCGGTCACTCGGGGCATGGCCGCGCCCGCAATCTTGACTGTTATTGCGTGGACGGAGGTTATAGGGAGAAGGGACGGGGTTTAACCCTGCTTGATCGCCGGTACCAGGTATCATGGTTTTAAGATTTAGCGTCCGTGAGAGGAATTTGGTTTTTATTTTGGTTCAGTGAGAAGGGATAATGAAGGATTGAAAGTTTGTTTGGAAAGACGGGAAAGCACAGGAACCACCAAATGAACGGAGAAACTCCATTCTGTAATGCCCGAGTCCTATTCCTGCTCCAGAAATCAAGGCTTCAGTAAAGTCTTTTCG